CTCTCTGTCAAATAAATAAATAAAATCTTTAAAAAAAAAAAGAAATCTGGAGTCAAAATCTGGGTTCAAATTCAGATGTGGCCATTGACTGGACCTCTGAACGAAGTCGGCCACACCAGCCTCACAATGTGTGTGGCCGTGTCCCGCAGTTCTGGCCCGGCCGTTCGTTTCCACAGGCGTGCACAGCCTTGCGGCTTGGGAAGGGAAGCACAGAGAAGAGCAGAGATGGAATAATTAGAGTTCCTGCCCTCAAGGTGCTTAGAGTCAGGTGTGGATTTAGGGCAGGATGAAGAATTGGAACTCATCTGACTTTAATACAAGAAATGGCATTGTGAGTATGGAGACAGGCAGGGAGCAGGAGCTTAGCTCAAGAGAAGAGCCCAGTGATGGTCAGGTAGGCTTCCTGGAAGAGGCGCTCCCAAGTCAGGCAGATGTGAGGTGCTGAAGCCAGGAGAGCTAGCTTGCTCCCCCTCTGGCTGAATGGCAGCATTACAGGTACAGGAGCAGGAGCTTGGGGCCAGCTCCAGGGGCCCCAGGGACAGTCTAAGGAGCATGCACTCGATCCCACACTGGGGAGGCACTGGGGAACCATGGGAGGTGTCTGACGAGGGGAGAGGTGTGATTAGTTTGTGTTAGAGAAACAGGACAGGAAAGAGGGACTGGGGAAGGGCCTTTGAGGAGATGGGCTGGGCAAGAGGAGATTCTGGAAGGAGGGGTCTCCTAGCTCCCTGACCTCCACGTGCCACCCCTTCGCCTTCAGGAAACATCGTGGGAATGGGGCAGTGCCTCCTCCATGGCATGACAGTGGTGATCCGGAAGAAATTCTCAGCCTCCCGGTTCTGGGACGACTGTATCAAGTACAACTGCACGGTGAGTGGGAAGGGCAGAGGATGAGCGTCTCTGTGCTCTCATGACCCATCCGCCCCATTTGGGGATGTCTGCCTCACAGCCGAGGCCGATCGTTCACTGGGGGCAGCATTTCCGTTGTTTCAATGGGGAGACTGAGGCCCAGGGCCTGTGGGATTGGGAGGTGAAGTGAGAGCAGCCATGGGCCAGCCTCACACCAGGTCCGCCCCCAGATTGTGCAGTACATCGGTGAGCTGTGCCGTTACCTCCTGAACCAGCCGCCCCGGGAGGCAGAACACCAGCACCGGGTGCGCATGGCACTCGGCAACGGCCTCCGCCAGTCCATCTGGACCGACTTTTCTAGCCGTTTCCACATCCCCCAGGTGGCCGAGTTCTACGGGGCCACTGAATGTAACTGCAGTTTGGGCAATTTCGATAGCCAGGTCGGCCGTGGGACAGTGGAGGGTGGGCGGGGTGCAGCGCGGAGTGTGGGTGCCGGAGCCCCCGCTGTCTAGTCGGGGCGGGCAGGGTGCAGCGCGGAGTGTGGGCGCTGGAGCCCCCGCTGTGTGGTCGGGGCGGGCGGGGTGCAGCGCGGAGTGTGGGCGCCGGAGCCCCCGCTGTCTAGTCGGGGCGGGCGTGGTACAGCGCGGAGTGTGGGCGCCGGAGCCCCCGCTGTGTGGGTGGGGCAGGGCAGTTGTGGGAGTGTGGACACCAGGCCTCCCAACACTGTCCAGTCTCAGGCCCAAGTCTTGGCCTTTGCAGGTGGGGGCCTGTGGCTTCAACAGCCGCATCCTGTCCTTTGTGTACCCCATCCGGCTGGTACGAGTCAACGAGGACACCATGGAACTGATCCGGGGGCCCAATGGCGTCTGCCTTCCCTGCCAGCCAGGTCTGCCCCAGGGTTGGAAGTGGGGTCAGAGCAGGAGAGATTGACCCGGGAGGGAGATGGCACTGGGCTGGGTGAGTGGGGAGCCCTTTTCTGACCAGTGGCCATCACTCAGCTCTTCTCTTAGGGCCACAAGTCATTTATTTTTTGTCCATCCGTCCTTCCATTCCTTATCCCCTCTACCCATCAGTCCATTGATTCACTGTTGGGTGGAGGACCCCCAGGTTGATCCTGGCCCAGCCCCTCAGCTCTGTGCCTGAGTCCTCTCATCTGCGAGTGAGGCTGACGGCAGCACCATCTCCTGGAGTCGCCCTGGGGATCATGTGTGCTAAGGAACGCACAGAGCCAGGGGCCCAAGGAGTGCTGGCTCTGGTCAAGCTGTCCATGTAGAGCTTGGCCACCCTTTCGTATCGTTTGTCGTTCCATATGCTCCATGCCCAGACGTTACTGAGTGCCTCTGTGCATCAGACCCGCCGGGAGCAGCTTCCCTGCCCCCGGGGCTCCTGCCCCAGAGCGGGATAGCGTTTCTGTGGGAAGCAGTGTGAACAGAAGTCAGATCAAGATGCAGGGCGCATTTGGGGGTGGGGAACGGGTAGAGGAGGCCATCAGAGTAAAGCTGCTTTGCCTTCTCTGCCCCCAGGTGAGCCGGGCCAGCTAGTGGGCCGCATCATCCAGCAGGACCCCCTGCGACGCTTCGATGGCTACCTGAACCAGGGTGCCAGCAATAAGAAGATCGCCAAGGACGTCTTCCAAAAGGGGGATCAGGCCTACCTCACCGGTGGGTGGGCACCAGCCCCTTTGGGGGTACAGGGTGGAGAGGAATGAAGGGGCCCTCCCCCACCTTCAGAGAATACTGCCCCAGTCCCAGCCCTCCCTGTCAAGCAGATCCTGGGGTTCTGTGAGGCCGGCCGGCCCAAGCCCGGCCTCATACTGCGCCCCCGTAGGCGACGTGCTGGTGATGGACGAGCTGGGCTACCTGTACTTCCGAGACCGCACGGGAGACACGTTCCGCTGGAAAGGGGAGAACGTGTCCACCACCGAGGTGGAGGGCACACTCAGCCGCCTGCTGGACATGGCCGACGTGGCAGTGTATGGTGTCGAGGTGCCAGGTATCCACGGGGGCGGTGGGAGGTGCCAGGCATGTGTGGGGAGGCCCTGCTGGGGGGCACCGCCGGCTCCTCACGGTCCACGCTGCCGCCCCCAGGAACCGAGGGCCGGGCTGGAATGGCTGCTGTGGCCAGCCCTGCTGGCAACTGTGACCTGGAGCACTTCGCACAGCTCCTGGAGAAGGAGCTGCCCCTGTACGCCCGGCCCATCTTCCTGCGCTTCCTGCCTGAGCTGCACAAAACGGGTATGTCCCCGCCCCTGCTGAGCTCCCAGGTTCCAGGCCTGTGGCCCTTCTTGGCTCCTTTTGGAGAGACCTGGGGGGGCTGTCATTTGCCCTTCAGCCACAGCATTGCTGTGTCATTGGTAAACAGACCTCCCTGTGTACAAGTGAGCGGACTGAGCCCTCAGAGAAGGTTCACACGTCCATGAGCAGAACAAGCGTTTACTGAGTACCTACTATGTGTCTGCCAGGCCCTGTGCTAGGCCTCGGGGATTGAGGTGACAAATTCTGATGGGACCTTTGCCATCTTTGGGGAGGAAGCACAGGACAAGGAATTCCAAGGGCAAAGAACAGAATACAGATCGAACCGACAGAAAAGCAAACGAAGGGGGGTACAGTGCCTGGGAGGCTCCCTGGAGGAGGTGACCTTTGAGCTGAGACCTGAAAGGAGTGGGAGGCATTCCAGGCTGGTCCCTAAGACCGGAGGGCACTTGGGCACGAGAGGAAGGGAGGGAGGCCCCCGAAGCCGGAGCCATGGGAGCTGTGGGCAGCGGTGTCAGGTGGGGCAGAGAGGCCAGTGGGGACCAGAAGACTGTGGGCTGGGGAGCCTGGGCTGTGTTGGGGCAGCAGGGAGCCACAGAAGTGTTTGCGTCGAGCAGTAGCCTGGGTCAGGTGTGTGTGCCACGTGGCCCTCTGGCTGCTGTGTGGGGCGCGGGCGAGGGCTACAGGCAGCCCTGGGGGAGCACGGACACTAGCAAGGGGCCGTTACTGTTAGGAGAGAGGTCAGTAGTGGGTCCACAGTCACACAGCAGGGCGGTGCCAGCCTCCTGTCTGTTGGGCCACTGACGGGTCCCCTGATGGGCAAGAAGTCGGTCCTTGCTGCCCTGTCCCGACTCCCCCCCCACACACACACCCCCAGCGGCTCACCAGCTGCTCAGCCTCAGGCCACCTCCCTTGTGCTCATCATGTCACCCCCTGCCTTGCTGGAAGGCCTTCCCGGACCCATGTCGCCCCTGCCGGCTGGTAGGCTCCTAGCAGCACCTGAAGCAGTGCCGAGGGTCTAATGGGGACACTGGTGCTGGGCTCGTGATGGAGCCTGGGAAGCTCCTGAGGTTTGAGTGACAGCTGACTTCTCTGTGCAGGAGAGAGGCAGGGAAGAGACCTCAGGTTTCAGAGGCTTTGCTGCAGCACACACGTCCCTAAACTTACTTTAGTGCTTAAAACAGCCATTTTTTTGCTCTCAGTTGTGGGTCAGCAACTTGCAGTTCAGTTCAGCTGAGCGGTTCTTCCGTCAGCCCCGCCTGGAGTGGAAGAGCTACCATCAGTCGTGACTCGGCTGGGGCTGGAGGGGCCAGGATGTCCTTACTTGTACCTGTCTGGCTTCCAGCTGGTCGCTTCTGCAGCGCTGACCAGCAGAGCTGTCTGCGCTGATGATGGCGGCCCGTGTGCGCGCTGACCGGCACCGCGGCCGCTAGCCCTGTGTAGCTGCTGAGCGCTCCAGCTGGGGCCAGCGTGACTGCGGAACGGAATCTTACGTTTCCGTTCATTTTAATGCAATGTATAGAGCCCCTCATGGCCAATGGCTATCCTATTGGATAGGGCCAGTCCAGGGGGCGTCCCTGGGCTGTCTCACCTCTGCTCTCTGTGGCTCCTCCCCCTCCAGAGACTACACTGGTATCAGGCACCCCCTCCTGGAGTGGAAGCTGCAGGGCCCCTCAAGGCCTGGACTCTCCAAACTCTCATGGTCTGTGGGTCCAAGCAAGTCACAAGGCCAGTTCGGATTCAGGTGGGGGCTGAGAAAGATTCCAGCTCTCACTGGGAGAAGTGGCTAAGCCACCAGGCAGCGGAGTGTGCATCCAAGGAAGGAGGGAACCTGGCCATTTCTGGCAATCCGTCATAGCCGGGTTCAAATCCCAGCTCCAGCGCTTACTGGCTGTGTGGCGTTGGCCCGGGGGTGTGCCTCGCCATGCCAGTCTTCTCCTCTGTCCATTGGGCTGATGCTAATGACTGAGCAATACAATTACCGTGACCTACAACTGAGAAAACATTGCTGCTGTTGAAACTATTTCAGAGATGTTTTTTTTTGTTGTTTTTTTAGATTTTTTATTTATTTATCTGAGAGAGAGAATGGGAGACAGCATGAGAGGGGGAGGATCAGAGGGAGAAGCAGACTCCCCGCCGAGCAGGGAGCCTGACGCGGGACTCGATCCCGGGGCTCTAGGACCATGACCTGAGCCGAAGGCAGTCGCTTAACCAACTGAGCCACCCAGGCGCCCCTTTCAGAGATGTTAAAAGCTGAAAGTACATGCATTGTGGAAGCCATAGAATACTGTGGCGCACCTGCCCCAGGAATTTACGTGCAGATTAGATGAGCTCACACCTGTACCTGGGAGGTGCTCAAAGCACAGAAGGCCCGGGCTCTGGCCCTCCCTCTGCTGCCAGTCAGGGCATGTGGCCTTAGATGGATAGTTTCGCCTCTTTGGTTCTCAGTTTCCCCAGCTGCAAGCAGAAGGTGGGTAGCGTGGCCCCCTACCGCAGCGCCAGGGCTGCTCTGAGCAGTGGTACATAATATAATTAGCTGGAGCCGCCTTTGCAAAGTGCACCTGTGTCCTGCTGTGCTCCATGCCTCATTCCTGTGTTCTCCCCAGCCCTCTTCCTCTGCCCCTCTTCAGCTTTGGTGTGCGGCTTCCCGAGGCTCAGGCCGCTGCCCTGCACCCTCTGACCCATCTTCCCTGCTCCCTCAGGGACCTTCAAGTTGCAGAAGACAGAGCTTCGGAAGGAAGGCTTTGACCCGGCAGTTGTGAAAGACCCGCTGTTCTACCTGGATGCCCGGAAGGGCCGCTACGTCCCGCTGGACCAAGAGGCCTATACCCGCATCCAGGCAGGCGAGGAGAAGCTGTGATTTGCCCCGAGTCCCTCTAAGGGCCAGCGGGTGCTGGATCCAGAGCCCCAGCTCCCACCCCAGAGGGGTCATGGGCAGTGCCAGACCAAAGCAGGCAGGGCCCAGCACCTCCGCCCCGAGGTGCTGTGGCCCCCCTCCACCTCAAAACTGCCAAGTGACTCACTGCCGCCTCCCCCTGCCCCCCAGGAGGCTTTCTGTGAAAGCCTCAAGTCCATATTCCATCTTCAAGGCCAGGTGGGGCCTCTGGGCCCCGAGACAGACCAGGCCCCTTAGGATGATGTCTTGGGTCAGGGCAGGGGTAGGTGGAGGGTCGCGCAGCACTCCCCAGAGCACAGGGAGCTTGTAAATGGGACCAGGGCAGAAGCCCCCAGACTCAGGAAGCCAGCAGAGTGGGCAGGGGCTGCAGTGGCTATTGATCAGGTGGCCAAAGAGGAGGATCCTGGCCCCAGAGCTGTTCCAGTGTCACTCAGCACTGCCCGCACCTCCAGGAGGATCGGAGGAGGACCCCGACCTGCAGCAGGCACCCTGACTGAGTGCCCTCCCCCCCGCCATCCTCCTCTCCTGGGTGGCAGCCTGGCTGCCCCTCAGGCGGGACCTTTGTCCTTGTAGGTCTGTCCACATCACTTTCTCCATCGCAGTCCTGGGCTGGCTATGAGAGGAGGAGGGGTGGGGGGGGTCGTTCAGGGGCCAATAAACTGCCTTCACTCCCCCTAGCCTGTGTGCATGCCACCTGAGCTCACAGCACCTGCTCAGGCCCCACCTCCTGCCCCTCCAGCCTATTCACTCACCCAGACTTAGGGATACAGCAGGTAAGACGCCCTCCTTGAGTTGGCAAGGTATTTAATAGCATGAGCTTGAAAGTCCAAACCAGCTGTGTCACTTTTGAGTTTGTGGTCTAGGGCAAGTGACTCAGTCTCCTCATCTGTGAAAGGGGACTATCGAGGATTCAGAGAGCACAGGTACTCATGTTGAGAAAAGGGCTGTTCAGAGCCTTTGAGGAAGAAGAACCTAACGTGGGGCCTGATCCCATCTCCAGACCCTCGCCCGTGCATTTCCCCGGGGGTCTGGGGGCTGTGCGAGCCAGAGCCGGGCGGCCTGACCAGCTCTGGCAGAGTCCAGGAAAGCTTCCCAGAGCCATGTGCCCAGGGCTGCAGGACCGGCCGTCCCAGTGGAGAGGCAGCTGTCCCCGAGGCCCTGTTGCCGGAGTCACACCCAGGCTGGAAACGCATGGCCCATTGGGAGAGGGGTCGCACCCAGCCCAGGGCAGTGGGCAGCATGTGCCCCTGGGCCTTATCTTCACTATTTAAGCTTCACCGCAGTCTGTCAGTCACTTGCTGAGGTCACACAGCAGTAGGGGGAGCTGGTGGGGGGGCTGGAATGCAAACCCAAGCCCCTGTTGCTTCCTGCTGCTCCACCCACCGCCTGGTGCAGAAGGCCAGGGGAAAGCCAAAAGAGCTTCCATTCCACCCTGCCTGTGGAGCCCGCTGTGGGCCCCGCCCTTGGCCTGCAGCTGATGGCCAGGGTGGAGGGCCAGGATGAGATCCGGGATGCCTCCTGGAGGAATGACTCTGAAAAAGGAATCTGATGCTCTTGGGGGAAAGTGGGGGGCAGAGCTGGAGTCCTTGGAGAGAGGTGCTGAGGGGGTTTCCGGGGCGCGGGGGGAGGTGACAGTCACGGTTGCAGTGTCCCAGTGTGACCAGCAGAGGGCACGCAGCGCTTAGAGAATCCCATCTTAGTCCTTTGCACTCAGCCTCCAAAAGTGGGAAGGAGGGGCTGTGAGTCCCACCTCAGGCCCAGGCAGGTACCCAGCCCAGAGCACCCCGTGGCAGGGCTTTGAGGGCCTAGGGTCAGATTTCCAAGGGGCTGGACCTGACAGCGTGGCTTTGTGTCTTTAACCCTTAGCAGTGAGTGCTTTCCAATGGGATAGCGCCCCCCGCCAGGGGGCCCCATTCCTTCCTTAAGGTTGAACACAGTCACCAAAAGGCAGTATAGAGTGATGGTTAAAAGCTCCAGCTTGAACAGGCATGTGTTCGAGTCCATTCGCCAGGCTAAGCCTCAGTTTCTTCCCCTGTAAATGGAGATTACAAGATAAAAAAAAAATCTATATTCAGGTGTTAAGACCCCAGACTAGGCCTGAATTGACCACTTCCACACCACTCTTCCACCCCCCCTTGAAGGGCCTTGGGAGCTCTCCCATCTGCCTCTGATCATCCTCAACCACTGCTGTGTGAATCATCGTGCACACACAGTAGATTCTCAGTGTGTCCTTGTGACATTCACGACTGCTTATTGGGCATTTCTTGACGTTTATATGGTGTTTCACGGTTTACAGAGTACGGTGTAAGTTCATCTATGGAGCAGATTCTAAAGACCTACGCAGGACGGGGGACGGGGCAGAGGCGGTGCATGGTGAGCAAGAGAGACCTGGGAGCCGACTGTCTGGGGACGGGAGAGTAAAGCTAGCGAATAAAGAAGCAAAGGGTGTGTGGTTAGCTACACCTACTAACCCAGGGTCCTTGTGGGGTGGGAAGTCCTCTTTCCTGGTCAAAGAGGCTTTTCAAGGAAGAGTTATACAAGAATTGGAGGGAGAAGAGTGTTCAGACAGAGCAGGAGGAAAACGTAAAGGCCTGGAAGTCCGTGGTGAGCAGGGCAGATTACAACAAGCTGTGAGGCTGCAGGGGAGTGCAGGTTGGGGGTGGAGTAGAGCTGAAGCAAGATACGAAAAATGAGCCCTTTGTGGGCACTTGTACCTGCACGCTTCCAGAGACTGGGGGCTATGCTAGGAGGTCCCTGCATCGGTCAGACCCACTTCCTTAGACTTGCTAATGGCCGCCACGGATGGAGCCCCTCCTCTGTGCCTGGTGCTTTGTGTGCATTGGTTCATTAAATCCATACCACAAAGCAGCTACTATTTTCATCCCCATTCCACAGATGAGGAATCTGAGGCTCAGGGAGGCAAAGCCTCTCCCAAGACCACAGAGCCTGTGAATGGCAGCGCTGGGATGCAAACCGCCTTCCCTGAGCCTCAGTATTCGCATCTGCCACAGCGCCAGGGGGAGGCTGGAAGGAGGCTGGAAGGAGCCTGTCTCGAGCATCCCCGGAGGTCCTACCGCCCTCAGGACAGGCAAGTGGCCGACCAGGCCAGTGCTTGGCGTATCACTTTCGATCCCTGGGAAGAAGGTTAAATACCTCCGAGGGGCCCATTGAGGCGGTGGCAGTAAGGGAGGAGGTGACCAAGTGACTTTCAAAGGGGCCTGAATGCGTGGCCGGCCCCTCCCCCACAAGGAGGGGGCCCTGCTTCCTCCCAGCCTAATGATATTCTGGGCTCAGCCCTCGTCTTTGGCGGCAGTTTAACCCGAGCCGGGGCGGATTTCTTTCTCACTGATCTCAGCTTGACACCCAATTAGCACAAGAATGGGAGGAGGAAGCCTGAGAGAGGCGCCTCCCAGCCTCCCGGGGCGCACGAGGGGAGCAGGCGGGAAGACAAAGGGCAGCGGGCAGGGGGGCACCCGCGCCCTTGCCTCCCCCCCGCAGACCCCGCCTTTGTCTCCCTAGTTGCTTCAGAGGGGCTGGAGGCCGACGCCCGGGCTGGCCGGCCTGCTGGAGGACTGGGGATGGGGCCCAATTCCCCTCGTCTGCGTAGATCCCAGGGGAAGGCATTTGGGTGATCCGGACCCAATGGGAAGCCGTCAGGGTCAGTGATACTGAAGGTGCTACAGCCTGGGGTTGAGGCCTGACACTTAGGGACCATGCGCAAACCACTGGTTCTGAGCTTCAATTCTCTCAATTTGGAAAACGGGGTAAGAGTAGTCCCTGTGAGCAGTCAATCAGTGTGCATGTATAGCACCTGGCAGGTGTAAGGTGGGCATTCAAACACTCTTAGAATGAGTACGTTAAACTGATATTGTTACTAATTAAAGAGGTTGAGTGGCGTAGGTTTGGGGTCAGGAGAAGGAAGGACTTTCTGAGACGCAGGCATTCACAGAATGGGCTGATTTTCTTTTTAACTTTTATTTATTTGAGAGAGTGGGCGAGAGAGAGAGAGAGCGAGGTGAGGGGCAAAGCGAGAGGGAGAAGCAGACTCCCCGCTGAGCAGGGAACACGGGGCTTGATCCCGGGACTTCAGGATCATGACCTGAGCAGAAGGCAGACGATCAGCTGACTGAGCCACCCAGGCACCCCCAGAATGGGCTGATTTACCCAGAAGGGAGCTCCCATTTCTGGGACTATGCAAGAAGATAGAGGAATCCCCTGTCTGTTGAGATGTGGGAAGATGCCTCCTTCCTAGGAGCCCTCTCCCTCCCACCATTCCTTTGGATTTGGGCTTGGTGTGACTTCCGGGAAGACTTCCCTGATCCCAGTGCTGGATTAGGGCGCTCCTCCAGCTCCCACAGGGCCCCCATATGCCCCCTTTATAACACTGATCACACCACGTGGTCCATTTTTACATCTGTGTCTTCTCCTAGAACAGTCCCAAAAGGGCAGGGACCTGTTGGTTTTGTTCACTGTTGTGTTCCCAGCACCAGCACTGGGCCTGGTGCTTAACAGATACTCAGTGAATGTTTGTCAGATGGCTGAAGCCCTTCAAATGCTCCCTAGCTCTTGTGTTCCAGCCCCAGGAGGGGTCAGTTCCTAGGGTGAGAGAATATTCAATTCATAGAGGTGAGCTGAGATCAGAGGCTCAAGGGCTCTGAACACCTTCTAGGAAGGCCCTTATCTTTGGCAGAGAGAAGCCAGTGAATGACTGAGCAGGGAGTGATGTGTTCACTCACTCATTCAGCAAGCACTTATCAAACCCCTACAATTACAAAGCTCCCTACCACAAGCCAAGGATCAAAGATGAATCAGGCAAGATTACTGCCCTACAGGAGCTGGGTCTAGTGGAAGAAACTTAGAATATTTTTGCTGAAAGGACCTTAGATCATTTGGTCCCCAACCTTCTTTACAGATTGGGGAAACTGAGTTCCAGAGAGGGAAAGTGACCAACCCGCACAGCATGGTACACGTGGGGCCTTTCCATTTACCGCAGGATTCCTTTGTGCCCTTTGAGGACCAGGGATGTGTCTCATTTGTCTTCACTTTGCCAGTGCCCTGGAACAGTGCCTAATGCATTGAAATGGCTCAGGGGTCTCCATGGAGTCAAACTGTGCAATGAAGCCAAGGCCAGAGTGAGGGAGGCGGGAGGCAGGCAGGCAGAGAAGCAGGTACAGGTGCAGGTGATGGTGGTGGTGGTGGTGGTGGTGAAAGATTTGGGGGGTTGCAAAATCAGCTGAGATGGGAGATGAATCCAAATCGGTTATTTGAATATGGGACAGAATTACGAACAATGCCCAAAGTTTCTTGCTTGAGTGTTTCAGTGGGTGGCAGTGGTATCCTTGAAATGAGGAACACAGGGGAGGGCCTGTTTTAGGGAAAGAGGCACTGTGCCAAGAACTCATTTAGTCCTCGCTACAACCCTATGAGTTAGGGGTTGTTATCCCCATTTTACAGATGAGGAAACTGAGGCACAGACATGTAAGTTAAGGGACTTACTTAAACAGCTAGAAGTGGTGGGACTTGGATATAAAGCTGGCAGGTGAATGCCTAGCTCTTTTTTTTTTTTTTTTAAGATTTTACTTATTTCTTTTAGAGAAAGAGAGAGAGAGAATGAGTGGGGGGAGGGGCAGAGGGAAAGGAGTCTCAAGCCGAGTCCCCGCTGAGCACAGAGCCTGACCCAGGGTTCAATCTCACAACCCAGAGATCATGGCCCAAGCCAAAAAATCGAGTCTAACCGACTGCACCATGCAGGCACCCTGAACTCCTTGCCCTTAACCATTTTATCACTCCACCATTGACCATCAGCCTACCCCACCGTACGCTACCAAAGC